CCGGGAAGCCTTTATGTGGAAATTTATGAAGTAATAATTTTTGGGATTTAAAATTAATTTTTAGTTGACTTTGGTCAATGTTTTGAGTAAACGGACCCGGATTCGTGTTCCGATGGTCCCGGAAGGTCCGTAGTAAAATATGGGACTTGGGCGTATACCCGGAATCGAATTCCAAGGTCCCTAGCTCGAGAAATGAATTTTTGATAAAAATTGTAAGACTGAAAGTCTATGGATTTAAAGAAATTGATTAATGTTTGATCTCATTGATATCGGGCCCGTATTTTGGTTTCAGAGTCCGGTACAGGTTTAATATAATATATAAGTCATGTCTGTGAAATTTGGTAGAAATCGGAGTTGATTTGACGTGATTCGGACGTCCGGTTGAGAAGATAGTAGTTTTGAAATGTTCTTGAGGAATTCATGAGTTTTGGTGCTAAATCCATATTTTTAGGTTTTATTTTTGTAATTTGATTATATGAGCAAGTTCGTATGATATTTTTAGACTTGCGTGCATGTTTGGTTGTAGCCCCGAGGGCTCGGGTGAGTTTCGGGTAGGCTACAGAGTGATTTGAAACTTAAAAATTTGCTGGTGTAACTGGTGTCTCTCGCAGGACTTTGATCTCGCAATTGCGAGATCAGGCTTCACAAATGCGAACCAAGTAGGTATGGCAATTGCGAGGTTTTTATCGCAATTGCGAAGAAAGCCTAGGCCAGCAGTTCTCGCAATTGCGAAGGGGGTCTGGGGAAGGGCATGTTCGTAAATGCGAACTTCTACCCGCAATTGCAATGGGCCAATTGTCGCAAATGCGACATACTCTTCGCATTTGCGAAGGCAGTGAAAATGTGAAGGTTCTCGCATTTGTGATGACTCCTTCAGGTTGCAAATGCGACATCCGCAGCTGATAACTTTAGACTTAGACGGGATTTTTCATTCATTCTTCAATTTTTCAAAACCTAAACCTCAAGAGGCGATTTTCCAAAGACCAAATCTTCCCCACATCATAGGTAAGTGATTCCTAACTCTTTTCTTTCAATCTTTTACATCTTATAACAATATTTAAACCTAGAATCTAGAATTTTTATGGTGAAACTAGGATTTTTGGGTAGAACTTAGGAATTTCGAAATTTGGAGATTTAGACCTCGAATTGAGGTCGGATTCCAAAACCAATTGTATATCCGGGCTCGGGGAAGAATGGATAAACGAATTTTGGTCCGAACCTCGAGTTTGGACCAAGCGGGCCCGGGGTTGGTTTTTGACTTTTGTTGGGAAAACTTAGGAAAACTGTAATTATGCATTAAAGTTGATTCCTTTAGCAATAATTGATGATATTAAACTAATTATGATTAGATACGAGTGGGTTGGAGGTGAATTCTAAAGGGAAAGCGGCACTTGAGCAGTGAGTGGCCTGCGAAATTGAGGTAAGTGTTGTGTCTAACTTTAGCTTGAGGGAATAGGTATTGTGTGTGTATTTGCTACGTGTTTTGTTGTTGAATACGATGTATAGTTGAGGTGACGAGCATCTATACGTTGTGGTCAAGTCATAGCATGCGAGTGAAATTTCATTCTTGCAAATTTGTAGTCTTAAATCTTGTTATCCATGCTTATTATTGTTGTTGAAATATTGGGAGATTTGTATCCGGTTCCATCAAGGTCGATAAAATTGTGAATATTGATTCGAGGTTGAGGTGTTAAATTGTGAAAGTAATCATTGATGAAATATTGATTTCTTTGTGAAACTTCTCTCTATCCGTTGTTATTGATTTGTGAATTGTGAGTCTGAGCACCTCCCCTGGCCTAAGAAGTGGTTGTTGCGGTTGGAACAGATACCGCCTGAGCAAGACTGGTGCACACGGTCAGAATTTGAGCCAAGGCCTCCTGAAGGCGGAATCACAATAGGCACAACTAGTGCCTGAGTTGACCCCACTGGCTCAACCGTATTAGGTACCTACTCTGCACTTCTACCCCTACCGCGACCTCGGCCTCTCGCGACCCTAACTGATGGTACTGGTGGTTGTCCATCATATCTGGTAGCACGTGTCCTCACCATCTTTGAGAGAATAGAATAACAGAAGTTTAGTTACCGGAATAAACAGATTCGCACGACTAGAATTCAAGAATGTGAAGTTTCCTTAGGAGAGTCAAGGTCTACGGACGCCATGCAACTACCTTGATAGTCTCCAAAGATCCTGACTCCACACTCAGCAGCCGCCGTGACTGGAAGCACCTGGATCTGCATACTAGGTACAGAGTGTAGCGTGAGTACAACTAACTCAATAAGTAACAAATCCAACCTTTGGACTGAAGGTAGTGACGAACTCAACCGATACAGTTCAATATAAGAACAACAACACAAAAACGTAGAAATACTTTCAAGTTCAACAGTTAAACTCAATTTCAGTAAGATGAATTAATTCTAAATGATATGAAGAATACAACTTCTCTACTTCTATATGCCAATGCATATGTTATATGTGATGCACCATACTGATAAACCCATGTGCTGACTCTCTCGAAATACTCAATCACTCAGTACTGTATATGGCCAATCCGGCCTAGGGAAGATCCATTAGTCACTCAGTACTGGGTAGGGCCAAACCAGCCTGTGGGGAAGATCCATCCCCCGGTATAAATGCTTCGAAAAAGATCAATGTCCATGGAAGATCCATCCCTCAATATAAATTAACTGCGCTCACTGGGGGGGAGGGGGGGTGTACAGACTCCGGAGGGGCTCCTTCAGCCCAAGCACTATCATAAATCAATAAACCCACTACAGCGTGCAGCTCGGTCCCATAACTGTCAATCATAATCAGGCCCTCGGCTTCACTCAGTCATCAATCTCTCCAGTCTCTCTCTCACGGGCTTACAATATCATGAAACTAGCCCGACAATAATGATATGATGTATCAATAAATAGCAACAGAGAATGAGATATAATATGAAATGAATGAATATGACTGAGTACGAAATATCAATGAAATCAGTAAGTTATCGGCAAGAAACGACCTCTATGGGTCCCAACAGTACCAACATATAGCTTAAACATGATCTTTAGCATGATTGAAAGCTCAATTACTTTATCACATGATGAAAATATGAATATCAACAAGATAGATCCACTATACAGTGCCATGGAATCGACCAACTCATAATTCTCACGGTGCACGCCCGCAAGCCCGTTACTTGGCATGTGCGCCACCTCAACATCCATCATATAACATGTTATTCGGGGTTTCGAACCCTCAAAGCCAAGTTTAGAAGTGTTACTTACCTCTATCAGAGCACAACTCTATTCCAACACACCTTTGCCTCACAAATCGGCCTTCAAATGTCCCAAATCTAGCTACTAACATTACGATACAATCAATACGGGCTAAAGGAACAATTCCGCAAGAAAATACGAAATTAATAATCAAAAATCCAAAATCGGCTCAAAGTCGGCCCCCGGGCCCATGTCTCGAAATCTGACAAAAGTCACAAAATCCGAAAACCCATTCAACCACGAGTCCAATCATACAAATTTTATCAAAATACGACACCAAATCGTCACCCAAAACCTCCAAATCAACTCTCCAAATCCCTAGCCTCAAATCCCAAAATTTCACCACACAATCTAGGTGGAAAAATCAACGGGGAAACAAGATTATTAATAAAAAACGAGCACAAGGAACTTATCTCAAGAATCTCTTCAAAAACCCTCTCAAAAATCGCCTAAGCCCAAGTTCAAAATGTTAGAAATGGTGAAAATCTCGGAACCCTCTTTTTTATATGTTCTGCCCAGGCTTGCGACAACTTTGCCGCTATTGCGGCGTCGCAAAAGCGACATTTCAACCGCATATGCGGCTCCATCCTCTTCTGCGGTCCCTCAACACGCTCCCGCGGATACGCTTCTATGGGCGTCCAGCCCGCTTCTGCGGACTCAGCTCCCTTGCCCATTTTCGCTTCTGCGGTGCCCCAACCGTATCAACGGTCATGCAGGTGTGGCAAAACCTTCGCACCTGCGGCCACTGTTCACACCTCTCCAAAACTCTGCATCTGCGCTGCCCTCCCCGCGCCTGCGAGCTCGAACCTGCGATCAAAGCTCCGCAGGTGCGGTTACACCAGCAGAACCCAAACTTCAGCAGTCTTCAACTTCAAACCTTGGTCCGAAAACCATCCGAAATCAACCCGAGGCCCCTAGGACCTCAACCAAATATAGCAACAAGTCCTAAAACATGATACGAACTTAGTCGAGCCTTCAAATTACGTCAAACAATATCAAAAATACGAATCGTACCCCAATTCAAGCCTATTGAAACTAAGGAAACTCAACTTTTACAAATGACGCTGAAACCTATTAAATCACGTCTGAATGATCTCAAATTTTGCACACAAGTCACAAATAACACCACGTGCCTACTCCAACTTCCGGAGTTCCAATCCGACCCCGATATCAAAAAGACCACTCCCTGTCAAACTTTCCAAAAATCCAACTTTCGCTATTTCAAGCCTAATTCAACTACGAACCTCCAAATCACAATCCAGACTCGCTCCTAAGTCGAAAATCACCCAACGGAAATCACCCAGTTCCTTGCTTATCTAATTGTATTATACATTACTTAATATTATTAAATTTTTATTTGAATTTTTAGTAAATTGCCAGTTTAATATAATACAATGAATATAATTTTAGATTATTCTTGAAATTCAACTTTACTTTATCCTGTATAACTTTCTCGTAATTATTTCGATATTTAAATTTATCAATAATATTTTGAGTATTATTTATTTAATTTTATCAAATAAATTTAAAATGTAGATAAGAATGATAATACATTAGTTCTACAATTATTTTTCCTATTTAGTGTTTATCTACAAAATAAATTTTATCGTAGGGTGTTGAATTAGATCAAAGGTTAAACAAAGAGAAAAGTAATGCCTTTACATCGGAACCCAACAGAGAGAGTAATGCACTTAAATGATCTGGAACGCATATCAAGTACGTCGGAACCCACATCCCCGTATGCAACACATTAGCATTTACTTTTCCCCCAAAAAATAATACTAGTAGTATTGACTATTCGATGGGCCATCCCATAGGAAATATCGGTACTCCATTAAATAATAGTCTTTCCTTTTGCCATGGCTTCTTCCTCTATTCGTTTGATAATCTAGATCTACTCTCTTCATCTTCTTCTTTCTCTTTTTATTTTACCATTTTTCTCTTCTAATTCTACAGATCTTATCCCACTTTTCGATCTGATTTTGGTTACAGATCCACTCGTTCCTCATCTTTTTGCTTTTGTTGGTTTACAATTCCTTTTGTTATTTACAGATCCACTCGTTTATTTACAGATCCATTCTGATTTTTTAACACGGTTTGTGCTGAGTTATGCCATCCAAAAGATGGCATTTTTATTGCAATGTATTGGAAAAGATAAATACAGATCCACTCGTTTATTTACAGATCCATTCTGATTTTTTAACACGGGTTGTGCTGAGTTATGCCATCCCAAAGATGGCATTTTTATTGCAATGTATTGGAAAAGTCAAATACAGATCCACTCGTTTATTTACAGATCCATTCTGATTTTTTAACACGGTTTGTGCTGAGTTATGCCATCCCAAAGATGGCATTTTTATTGCAATGTATTGGAAAAGTCAAATACAGATCCACTCGTTTATTTACAGATCCATTCTGATTTTTTAACACGGTTTGTGCTGAGTTATGCCATCCCAAAGATGGCATTTTTATTGCAATGTATTGGAAAAGTCAAATACAGATCCACTCGTTTATTTACAGATCCATTCTGATTTTTTAACACGGTTTGTGCTGAGTTATGCCATCCCAAAGATGGCATTTTTATTGCAATGTATTGGAAAAGTCAAATACAGATCCACTCGTTTATTTACAGATCCATTCTGATTTTTTAACACGGTTTGTGCTGAGTTATGCCATCCCAAAGATGGCATTTTTATTGCAATGTATTGGAAAAGTCAAATTCCTATCAATTTAATTTGTCCACTTTGAATATCTATCGATCTCTATACAAATGATATCTAATGTTGCTCATCTATTTTGTAGTCTCATTCAAGGGTCACCATTTTGTTGTCCTTCCTCTGCAATCTGCTGTGCTCCTACCTGTGGTTCTTCAGCTGCTAGTTGATTTGCCATATCTTGGAGTTGGTTTGTTATTGGTTCAATTGCTGAGCTATCGCTGCAAAAGACAGACATCAAAGTGTAAGTCATATATATTGTGCTTATGGGGTTGTTTATTATGATTAAGGCATATGCTTACCTTAGTAAATCATGCATTATATCAGTAAGTGTACTTTGTTGCCCTGTAAGGTGAGCCCACTGTTGGAAAATCACAGCTGTTTGCTCTATTATGTTATCCCTTTCCCTTATCAGCCTCGCACAGCCTCCCATGCGATCTTCTCTTAGAACGTTTGCCTCGTAGGCACGATTATTCAGAAGCTGCCTTTTTTCTTCAATCCCTTCGTACATTTTAAGCCACGTAATCACTGTTTTTCTTCCCCCATGTGTACGAGTAACTCTTCCAAATGTTTCGTATTGTTCATTCGGGATAAGGTGTCGGAATTGACAATCGGCTTCACACACTGAAATCTTCCCGGACCTGCATGCCCCACATATTTGTGCTCCAAATGGATTTGGTACATTAAAGGCGTCTCTAATATGTTGTGCTGCATCTACAATCTGTTGTGCAGCAGCTATAATCTGTTGTACCATGTGATCTGCCCCTATCTACTGTGCTTTAGTAGTTATTTGATTTGGTAGTTGTTGGATTTGGTTGGCAATTTGGTGGATATCATGTGATGGATTATTCCTGCATAAGTTAGTGCTGGATTACGGTTCAGTGAAACAAAAGCTTAGATATAGCCATCTAGCCATGGTCAACACTCAACACACATGCAAGATGTTCTATTGTACAATAAAGTTCTATTCTTTTTTGTTTTTTCTCCAAGAAAATCTTGGGAACCGAAAGAAAACATAGATTTTGAGATAAGTAAATAAGTAAAAATCAAGTTTATTAATAAAGTTCTATTCTTTTTTGTTTTTTCCCCAAGAAAATGTTGGGAACCGGAAGAAAACAGAGATTTGAGATAAGTACTCCCTCTGATCCACAATAAGTGACTAATTTAGTTTTGGCACACCCATTAAGAAAATACTAAATTCTAAACAAAAATAGTTAGTGTGACTAAACTATCCTTAGTTAAATGTTGCAGCATAGTTAATGTGAGGAGTAAAAGACTTTTTAGGGATATGTACGTAAGAGTAATTTGGAAAAACAAATTGAATTTTTTCTTGATTATATAAATGGACACTTATTGTAGCCCAAAATAAAAAATCAAATTGGTCACTTATTGTGGACCGGAGAGAGTAAGAGTAAAAATCAAGTCTTTCAATAAAGTTCTATTCTTTTTTGTTTTTCTCCAAGAAAATGTTGGGAATTGAAAGAAAACATAGATTTGAGATAAGTAATCGAGTAAAAATCAAGTCTTTGTAATTTGTCTTCATTAGCTAATGCAGAAATAAATTCTTGATTTTAACAATTACAAGATTTAAAATTTACCTCAATAGTATGAGTAGCATGTTAATTGTATTATTTTGTTGAGGTAATCGATGTTGTCGTTCTTGGACTTCCGTAAGCCTATGTTTTATGGAAGTATTTTTTCCTTTAATAATGCCTGCACAGTCTCCTAGAGTGTCCGCCATTAATATATTGCCCTCATACATTCTATTTTCCAAAAATCTTCTTTTTTCTTAATTATCATGATACTCGTTCATCCATTCTCTCAGATTCTCTCCCATAAATCTTGACAGCTTTGCCAAAGATTTCATATTGGTTATTGGGTACAAGCATTCTAAATTCACAATTTGGTTTACATGCTCTCGACATTTTACCCCGTGGGGGGGGGGAGGGGGGGACATCGATATAAATTTGATCATTTGCATTACTGTTAATCGTACCCAAAGATTTCATCCAGTTCTTCTGTGAGAGATGAAGTTGGAGGATACATTTTTCACACTGTTGGATAATGGCTTCACACAAGAAATCAATTGGGATGTGTTCAATTGGATAATGACTTCACATAAGAAATTAATTGAGATGTGTTCAATTGGATAATGACTTCACATAAGAAATTAATTGAGATGTGTTCAATTGGATAATTGCTTCAAGAAATCAATTGGAAGTTTCAATTGGATAATGGCTAGTTAAGTTAATTTAGCAACTATCGACTATATATCGAAAATTTAGTTTCAGGCCGTTACATTCTTGAAAGAACGTTGTCGCGAAACAGTTTAGGTTTAATCGTTTTTTTGGTTATTCAAATTTTAGAAAATTCCAAATTTCTTTTTTCCCTTAAATTGAAAAATAGTTTTTTTAATTAGCTAAGAAAATAGTTACCATCAAAATTTCTTTATTTATCTTTTATCAACATTGGAAAGATAATCCACCTAGTTATCTTAGAATTAGAATGGCCGCAGTGATTTTTCTGTTAAAATGAGATGGTTAGTGAGGACTGCAGAGCAAGCTAGAATGGTGAGTTTTTGTGGTTTGTTCTTAACATTTACTCCCTCCGGTCCACAATAAGTGACCAATTTACTTTTTTATTTTAGTCTAAAATAAGTTTCCATTTATATAATCAAGAAAAAATTCAATTTTTTTTTTCAAAATTACCCTTATGTAATTACCCTTAATTAAATTTCAGCATAGTTAATGTGAGGAGTAAAAGATTCTTTAGGGATACGTACGTAAGGAAAATTTTAAAAAAATAAATTAATTTTTTTTTAATTATATAAACAGACATTTATTTTAGACCAAAATAAAAAAGCAAATTGGTCACTTATTGTGGACCGGAGGGAGTAAATATTAAGAGCAAACCACAAAACCTCACCATTCTAGCTTGCTCTGCGGTCCTCACTAACCATCTCATTTTAACGGAAAAATCACTGAGGCCATTTTAAGATAATTAGGTGGAGCACATTTCCAATGTTGATAAAAGACAAGTAAAGAAATATTGGTAGTAACTATTTTCTTAGCTAATTAAAAAGAACTATTTTTCAATTTAAGGGAAATTTGAAAGTTTCTAAAATTTGTATAACCAAGAAAATGATTAAACCTTAAATGTTTCGCGGCAACGTTCTTTCAAGAATGTAACAGCCTTTCAAGAATGTAACAGCCTGAAACTAATTTCTGATATATAGTCGGTAGTAGCTAATTTGACTTAACTAGCCATTATCCAATTGAAACTTCCAGTTGATTTCTTGAAGTCATTATCCAATTGAACACATCCCAATTGATTTTTTGTGTGAAGCCATTATCCAATTGAACATATCCCAATTGATTTCTTGTGTGAAGCCATTATTCTATTGAATACATCTCAATTGATTTCTTGTGTGAAGCCATTATCTTACAGTGTGAAAAATGTATCCTCCAACTCACCTCTCACAGAAGAAAAACTAGATGAAATCTTTGGTACAATTAACGGTAATACAAAGGATCAAATTTATATTGATGCCTCCCCCCCAAATGCTGATGCTGTATTTGAAGGAATGATAACACATCTTGAGGAACATGAGGGATCAAACAATTTGATTCAAAATCAAGAACAAAATAAGGAATTCGACGCTGCAGTACTTGCGGACATCATGATCAACCCTGATGAGTTAGATGGCAACGAAGACCCCTTTTTACAAAATACCAATGTCGATGCAGATGGGGGACAGAATATATTGGTGGGTAATCATGACCCACCACAAGGGGTAAAATGTGGGGCATGTTAGATTTGGGAGAAAAGTATGTGAACCAAATTGTGAATTTGGGATGCTTGTACCCAATAACCAATATGAAATCTTTAGCAAAGCTGTCAAGATTTATGGGAGAGAATGGATGAATGATAATCAAGAAAAAAGAAGATTTTTGGAAAATAGAATATATGAGGGCAATATATTAATGGCAGACACTCTAGACGGCTGTGCATTAAAGGAAAAAATGCTTTCATAAAACATAGGCTTCCGAAAGTCCAAGAACGACAACATCGATTACCTCAACAAAGTAATACAATTAACATGCTACTCATACTATTGAGGTAAATTTTAAATTTTGTAATTGTTACAATCAAGAATTTATTTCCTCATTAGGTAATGAGGATAAATTACAAAGACTTGATTTTTACTCTATTATTTATTTCAAATCTCTGTTTTCTTTCGGTTCCCAACATTTTCTCGGGGGAAAACAAAAAAGAATAGAACTTTATTGAAAGACTTGATTTTTACTCTATTACTCCCTCCGGTCCATAATAATTGACTAATTTGAAAAAAAATTCAATTTGTTTTTTTTTTTAAATTATCCTTACGTACGTATCACTAAAAAGTCTTTTACTCCTCATATTAACTATGCTGCAATATTTAATTAAGAGTAATTTAGCCACATTAACTATTTTTATCTAGAATTTAGTATTTTCTTAATGGGTATATCTAAAATAAATTGGTCACTTATTATGGATCGGAGGGATAATCAAGAATGCTCTTAATTGAAACCAATAATTCAATAAATTGTTTTCGTAAGCAAGTTTCATCTGTCGAGCAAGCTATCATAGCGAGGTCTCGTGGGGAGCTTCTAATAAAATTTCTAAAGACCTTAGTCTCCATACACAAGCAAAGCCTTATTTCTAAAGGCCCTATAAAACAAGTTTTCAGACAGTGCCACGTGAACATGAACTCTTTGGTTTTCGAACCCTAAAACAATTACTGCTAACTTACAACCAAAAGCAGGGAACATAATCTAGACTTTTGCATCTATATCCGATTTTGGGGTCACAATTGGTTACACTAGACTAAATAGGCCTTAAGTGCAAAAATATTTGCAAGTGTATTCATTTTACGATCGATTTCAGATTTATCAGGCCTGAAATTAAAAAAAATTAGTTTGAAGTAAAAAAAAATGTACTTCAAATGCACTTAAGGCCAAATAGGTCTGAAGTGCAACTTAAGACCAATAAGTCTGAAGTGAAAATTTGCACTTCAGATGCACTTAAGGCCAAATAGGCCTGAAGCGTAACCAATAGTTTAATGCACTTAAAGCCAAACAGTCTGAATTGTAACATACATTTTCATTCACTTAAGGCCAATAAGTGTGAAGTGAAAATTTGCATTTCAGATGCACTCCAAATAGGTCTGAAGTGTAACTAATGGTTTCATTCACTTAAGGCCAA